CATGCCTGGGTTGTGGACTTGATCCCTAGTAGAGGGTGTGCAGGAGGCAGCCAATCAGTGACTATCCCTCATCATTAATGTTTCTGTCTCTCTCTTTCTCCCTTCCTCTCTCTGAAATCAATTAAAAAAAAATTTTTTTTTAAAGATTTTTATTTTTTGGCATTTTAATTATGATGTGTCTTGGTGTGGGCCTCTTTGGGTTCATCTTGATTAGACTCTCTGTGCTTCCTGAACTTGTGTGACTTTCCTTCACCAGACTAGAAAAGTTTTCTGTCATTATTTATTCAGACAGCTTCTCTATTCCTTGTTCACTTTCTTCTACTTCTGGTACTCCTGTGATGCATATGTTGTTATGTTTCATGTTGTCCGAAAGCACCTTTAAACTGTCCTCCTGCTTTTTCATTATTTTTTTTCTTTTTGGTGCTCTGATTTTTTTCTACCTGGCTTCTGATTTGCTGATTTGATCCTTCCTTTAATCTACTGTTTATTCCTTCCAGTCTACAGTGGTACCTCGGTTTTCTACTGTAATCCGTTCTGGAAGACCGTTAAGAGTTCTGAAACATTAGAAAACCGAGGGATCAACAGCCGACAGCTAGGCCTCAGGATCTTGCATTCAGCAGAAGCCATGTGGCATGTCTGACTCCCAAGGTGTGTTCAAAAACCAAAGCATTTACTTCCAGGTTTACTGCGTTCATAAACCGAAATGTTTGTCAACAGATGTTCAAAAATTGAGGTGCCACTATATTCTTTATTTCACCTATGTCATTCTTCATTTTTGACTGGTTGTTTTTCATGGTTTCTATGTCTTTATGCATGCTGCTGAGCATCCTTGTAATCATTACTCTAAATTCTATATCTGATAAACTGTTTATCTCCATTTCATTTAGCTCTTCTTCTGTAGGATTCTCTTGCTCTTTCACTTGGGCCTGCTTCTTTGTCTCCCCATTTTGGCTGTATCTTTGTGCTTGTTTCCATTCATTAGGTAGATCTGCTATGACTCCCAGTCCTGGTGAGGTGGCTTTCTGTAGTGGGTGTCTTGTAGGACCCACTGGTGTAGTCTCCTTGATCTTTTGAGCTCGGTGTTCTAAGAATGTCCCTTGTGTTGGTTATGTGGGCCCTCCTATTGTAACTGGCTCTTGATTGCTGTTGTCCCATTTGTGGGTGGACTTAGCCCTCAGTCTGGCTATGAGGCTCACATCGTGGCAACTGTTATGCAGGTGCTAACAGAACAAAACAAGATCAATCCAGTAACAACGCAAGCACGCACACACAAAAAATAAAAACTAATAACAAGAAAATAACACCACTAATAACAAAAAAATAAGAAAAAAATAATAATACTATAATACAAGGGACCAAAAGAATTAGAACAGAAAGAATGAAACGAAAGAGGGGAATGTGAAGAAAAGGTGGAGAAAAGAAAAAAAAAGAATAAGAAGAGAAAAATATATATGAAATAATAATTTTTAAAAGGTAATAATAATGAATAAAATAATATATGGAATAGTAAAAGAAAAACAAAATAAATGAATAAATATTAAAAGATCAAAGAAAAAGAAAAAATGAAGACAGGGAAAGAGAGAAATAAGAGATATGACAGAAAAGAAGAAGAAAATAAATGAAATATAAAAAATTTAAAAAGAAAAAAATTATACACAAAATAATAAAAACAGTTGAGTTCTATTACGCAGATTTTGGTGCCTACTGTGTTCACCTTTCGGATCTGCTATTTGTGGTTCTCGCTGGATTTTGCTCAGATGTCCCTTGGTGTGCTGTTCACAAGCCTCCCAGTAGGTGTTCTGGTACAATCAATATTAGTTGCTGTCCCTGCCTGGCTTTCTGCCACCAGTCTGACGATGGAGCCCCAAACAGTCTGGCGGTCAAGACCTCCAAAACCCAAATACTAGATCTGCCTCAGGTCTCGCCCCTTGAATGTCCCTTTTCTGTGCTGCTTTCCCTTCCCCAATGGATTGACACTCTGTGGGGGGTTTCTGGGACCTGGCTTGGGTAGTTTAAACAGACTCACATTGGGGGGGGTGCTTATAATCTGTAGGAGTGGGGGGGCACTTCCTCTCTTTCCCAAGGCTGCGCTGGGTGCTGGCTGTACTCACTGTGGAAGGACCCAGCACACGCCCATCTGTCTCCTGGACAGAAAGCTAACCAGGACATAATGTTGCAACACCTCAGCTCCTCCTGGCTCCCTGGCACATACCACCACACAAAGTAGGAGGGGATCCAAAGGCACTCCAGTCTTTCCCTGCAGCTGGCCCTTCTTGGGCAGGGCCTCCGCCCAGGCTTCAACAGGCCAAATGTCCATGTTCCCTGTGCCGTCAGAACAAGCAGTGATGGCACAAATTTCTAGCCCCATGCTGTTTTCCTTTGACTCAGATCACAACACATCCAGGCAGACCTATCAGTTGCACAGGTTGGGGGCGGGGCACCATCCGTGTGCTTGAGTTGGAAATGAGATGGACTAGTCAGATCTCCCCCCCTCCCCCCGGGCACACAGACTAGCCCCCATCCGGCTCTCTGCCCAATGTCCTTCCAGGGGATGGAGGACATCTCAGAGACACTTTGAGGTATACCAATCAGCCCTCTTCGTGGCAGAGCTCTGCCATGTGGAACTTTTGCCATGTGGCCCCCAGCCCCAGATCAGAGTGATTTTCCCTGCCTGGTGCTGCAAAAAAAGAGATCATTCTTTGGGATGTTGTGGTTTGAGCTTCCCAAGCAGACTTTCCACCACCCAGTGCTACACAGGTTCCCCTTCCCTTCTCTATTTTTCTGAACTGGGGATCCCTGCATGGGGCTGAGACCCCATGCTCTCAGGGTGGGGGCTCAGCTGCCAAAATAACCTTCGGCTTCCCAACCTTGCACCTGCTCGAGTTCCCTCACCCTCTCTGTGTCTCCTGTCTTTCCTCTGTGTTCCCTGTTCACAATATTTAAAATCAGCTACACTTCAACTGGTTTTTCAAGTCGGTTGTCCTGCAATTTAGCTACAAATCCTTCCAGTGTTGGGAGCAAGCATTAAGAGGTTCCAGCTACTCTGCAGCCATTTTGGATTCCTCCCTTTTATTTTATTTTACTTTTTAAATCCTCACATGAGGATAGATTTTTATTGATTTTTAGAGAGAGAGGAAAGGGGGGGGAGAGAAACATCAGCATGAGAAACACTGATCAGCTGCCTCCAGGATCGAACCTACAACCTAGGTACGTGCCCTGACTGAGAATTGAACCCATGACCTTTTGTTGTACGGGAGTATGTTCCAACTAACTGAGCCACCCAGTCAGGGCCCCGTTTATTTTAATTTTTAAAATTACATTCAAAGGAAGGATATTTTCTGCTTACAAATGACCAGGTAGAAAAATAAACAAGTTCTCTGAAGAGGAACAAAAATTAGGATAGTCTCACAGTTTCTCTCTTCAACACTAAACACAAGTGCTTTTTCTGCATTTATAGAGATGATCACATGACTTTAATCCTTCATTTTGTTAATGTGATATACCACATATTGTCATTTGTGAATATTGAAGCATTCTTTCATCCCTGGAATAAATCCAACTTGATCGTGATGTATGATCCTTTTAATGTATTGTTGAATTTGGTTTCCTACCATTTTGCTTAGAATTTTTGCATCTATGTTCAACAGAGCTATTGGCCTGTAATTTTCTTTTCTTGAGGAGTCCTTGTCTGGTTTTAGTGTCAGGGTAATGCTGCCATTGTAAAATGAGTTTGGGAGTGCTCTCTTTTAGCTTTTGGAAGAGTTTGAGAAGAATAAGTATTATTTCTAGTTTAAATGTTTGCTAGGATTAACCAGTGAAGTCATCTAGTCTTGTACTTTTTGATTACTGAATAAATCTCCTTACTCGTTATTGGTCTGTTCAGATTTCCTATTTCCTCATTATGCAATCTTGGCATGCTGTGTTTCTAGGAACTTAGCCATTTCTTCTAGGTTCTCCAGTTTTGGGTGTATAATTGTTCTTAGTAGTCTCTTATAATCCTTTGTGTTTCTGTGGTATCAGCTGTAATGTCTCCTCTTTCATTTCTAATTTTATTTATTTGAGACCTCTATTTATCAAGTCTTGCTCAAGGTTTGTCTATCTTGTTTATCTTTTCAAAAAGTAGCTCTTAGTTTCACTGATCTTTTCCTTTGACTTTTTAGTCTGTTACATTTATTTCTGCTCTGTTGTTATTATTCTCCTAATTGCCTCTAGTCTCAGCCTTTTACAATTGGTTCTCTACTCTGGAGCCAGAATAAATTTTATACAAGAACATCTGATGTCATCTCCTGTTCATAATCCTTTATTGGCTCCCCTCGAGGAAAAAAATCCAAATTCTTTAATACAGATTACAAGACCCTTTACTCTCTTGATCCTGGTTTATCTTTACAATTTCATCTCTCATTTTCCCTTCACCACCTGGATCCCCACCCTTACCCCAAGGTCACACTGAAAAGGTCTGGCTACACTGAACTGCTACAGAACCCTAAAGTTCTCCTTCATTTCTTTTTCTCTCTGCTTCTTTCCCATCTTACTGTCTCTCTGTATCTCTGCCTCTTCTCTCTGGCCCTTTCTCTCTTCCCTCCTCTCTTTCTGTTCTCTCTTTTTCTGTTCATCCCCTCTCTCTATTCCCACCCACACCCCCATGGCACTTAGAGTCATGAGTTTTATGTATTTATTAACGAAGCATAGTACTTTCATACAACATAATGAGGTTGGTGATCACAATTTATATGTAAAGACAAAATGGAGTTTTGGATCAAAGTAGGATAATACTGTTTCCTCTAGTTGTTTAATACACCCTAGTCCTGAGGATGAAAAATGTTTTGGCTGTGGCAGCATAACACCCTTTCTTTGGAATTGTAACTGATAGCTGATTCCACATGTACATGATATTAACCTTAACTGAGTTACAGATTTTTTTAAAGTATCTCATATACAAAGTATCTAATATAACAGCAAGTATTTCTTTTGGTAATTGAAGGGAAAATTGAAAATACTACCTCACTTGAAGAATGTTCTTGCAAACTTGACACAGGAACAATTTCATCTGAATTAACACAGTTGCTGACATTTGGAAATAGTTCCTCCAAAGATGCTTTTTGTACTGAGGATAGATCAATCTATAAAATATATTACTCTTCTGTAGAAGTTAAATGTTGCAAAACCAGTTATTTTTAAATAATTAAAGGAAAGTTGAAACATACTATTTCATTAGAAGCATTTTCTTGTGTACTTGACATATGAACAATTTTATCTGAATTAATATAATTGCTGACATTTTGGAAATAGTTCTTCAAAAGATGCATGTTTAACTGGGGATAAATCAATCTATAAAGATTATAATACTCTTTAAAGTTATTATTTAAATAGGTATTCTTATCAGCTGTAGCATCATGTAATTTTTTTCCTATTCTTCATCCAATTAATATTTATCAGGGGCCTATTAAATGAAATCCATCTACCCTTTCTGTGAGCCAAAAGACTGAAACTGACAGTCAAAGAATCAGAGTCAGAGGTAGAAAGGGACAGATAGAGATCAAGACAGGTTGGTGCTGCAGTATTCTACTCTTTTTTTCTTTCTTTTATGTATAGCAATATATATAGTACTTCCAGTAAAAGTGTTTATGCAACGGAAAAATAAAAATACTATTGATTCTCTATGTGCAAGATTCCCCTGGCGTGACAGAATAATAGGGCAGAAGGAGAGCCAGGAAATAGATACTACAAAGTACAAATACTATTACTTACCTCTAAACCAGCTGTCTGCGAAGTTGGAGTACTTGTTAACAGGCCTCTTCTATTATCAGGAGTAGTGGGATTTGTGTTCTAACAATGTTTTGTGAAATAGGGGATTGAATAGTAGAAAGAAATAAACTACTTTAATACCGCAGAAACACAACTTAAAATTACTAAACTAAATTATAATGTGTTATACTAATAAAAATTTAATCTGCTAATTACATTTTAAACCATTAGACAGGTAACTAAAGAATTTTTTGGCTTGAGTTAGGTCAAAAAACTGCCAAGACAACTTTATATGATGCAACAACTATTTGAGAATACTTTGGTTGAAATCACTATTAATTTAAGGAAGAAAAGCTAATTAAAGTTTTCGATTAGGAAATGGTGCTTTGATTATCTTTGTTAACTGCTAAGAAAGGTATTTTACTTATAGTATCTGCTTAATTCCTAGTATATACTGTACTTTTTTATGGAAAGGGATTATGAGTTATTTCTGAAGCTGTTAAAACATGTAGCAAGGATACTTAATTTAAAATACACACATTTAAATGTATATAGAAACTTTCATTTACGGAACATCAAAGTTAAAGGAAGTACAAAGTAGGATACGGACTCATTGTCTATTTCTTGAAGATGCAAAGAGGTAGACAGAGAGAGACAAATCAAGAGTGAGAGAAAGAAGAGAAAGAAACAGAATCAGAGAGCTAAAGAGTTTAAGAGAGAGGGATCCGGAGAAGAGGGGGGGAGAGAGGAGGAGGAGGAGGGAAGAAAGGAGGGAGAGGAAAGAAAGAGGTGGGGAGGGGGAAGGAGAGAGAGGGAGGATGGGGAGACAAAAGACAGAGAGAAAGAAAGAGGAAGACTAAGGCAAGAGGGAGGGAGAAGAGAGGTAGAGAAGACAGAGATCAACAGAGACTGAGCAGAAAGGCTGAGGTTGATAGTAAAAGAGAGAGAGTCAGAGACAGAAAAGGACAGATAGAAAGAGAGCAAATCAGAGACAGGTAGAAGAGAGACAGAACTTGAGATGGAGAGACAAAATCGGGGAGAGCAAAGACAAAGAAACAGAAAGGCAGAGGAGAAAGAAACAGTGATAGAGTCAAAAAGAGAGGAAATAGGCAGCTTCCTTTTTAGCCATCAGCTGCCTTTTCAACTCTTGGAATCCATGAAACCACCATGTTCCTCGGACAGATCTCTGAGTAGGTGTGTATTATATGCTGCCAAGTCTGAAACCCAAACTCAGAGTTAAAACTTGAACAGCATAGGAAAGTCTGTGTTAGGTTTCTTTTTTCTTCCTTTCCTCTTTTCTTTCTTTCACTCTTTTCTTTCTGGCTTAAAAATCTCTGAAACTGCCCTGGCCAGCGTGGCTCAGTTGTTAAGAGTGTTGGCTCATGCACTGGAGAGTCCCAGTCAAGTGCAAGTACCTGGGTTGCAGGTTTGATCCCTGCAACCAACAGATGTTTCTCTCTCTCTCCTCTCTCTCTCTCCTTCCCCTCCCTCCCTTTCAATCTCTCTAAAGATCAATGGAAAAGACATCCTCTGGTGAGGATTAACAAAAAAAACTAGTTGTTTGTTCAAAATATAATCTGGAATAGTTCATCAGAAAATTTTTTATCAAAATAGTAACAAAAATATTATGAGCATATTTACCTGGTACACTAAATATGTCAGCTTCCTAATTTATTAGTTATAAAATCTTTTAATTTCTTCATCTGAACAATGGGGATTATTCTACCCCTAGGGACTACTGTGCATAGCTTACAAATAACACATGTAAAGAGAACCTCTGGTGCTTGAAGAGTAGGAGATACTCAATGATAGCTGCTATTATTATCACTGTGGCAGTGCTGTGCTAGGACCATGAGCAAAGAATCTGCTGTTCCCCTGCAAAGAGTGCAGTTAGTTCATAGTCTAGAATCTGCTTCAGCTTTCAGGCTGAGGTCATCATCTTCTCCGGCAAACCTCAGCCAACGTATGAGCACAGCAGCCCAACATGATTCCTGTAATGGACAATCTTTGTTCCAAATCTCCCCACTGGGAGAGCTTCTGTCAGATCTGCATTAAAGATTGAGGCTCTCTTCCTCAGCGCCACCTAGGAGGTGGCAGCCATCTCCTACTCAGCACCATGGCTGCCCTCAGACCCCTGTGAAACCCAAGATCATCAAAAACAGGACCTCAAAGTTCATCCAGCACCAATCAGACCAGTATGTCAAAATTAAGCAGAACTGGGGGAAACCCAGAGGCATTGACAATAGGGTGCACAGAAGATTCAAGGGCCAGATCATGATGCCCAGTGTTGGTTATGGGAGCAACAAGAATACAAAGCACATGCTGCCCAATGGCTTCCTGGTCCACAACGTCAAGGAGCTTGACGTGCTGATGTTATGCAACAGATCTCACTTTGCTGAGACTGCCCACAACATCCCCTCAAAGAACCGCCAAGCCACTGTGAAAAAGAGCAGCCCAGCTGGCCATCAGAGTCACCAGTCTGCCAGGATGCACAGTGAAGAAAATAGACAGATTGTGTGCACACTGTGTTTGTGTTAATAAAACCATAAAGACAGACTTAGGCTATTCCTGCCCAATCCTGCTTCCTCCCTGCTTTCCTTTCTTGGGTATTACCTGCTCCAATAAGCCATTTGAACTCTTAATTCTGTCTGAATATCTGTATCTCAAGTGATAATTATCAACTGTCAGTCCATTTACAAAACATCTACCTACATAGAGCTGTAAGTATAGCGTCTCTGCATTTTTCCCTAGATTTATTAAGAAATTATGCCTATCTAAATCTTCCCAATAAATACACTTCTTTTCATAGTTTTTTCAGAAAGTGGTAAAAGGCCAGTGCTTACCAATGCAGGTTCCAGGGGCTGAGGCAGCAGAACTTTGGTAACTGACTTACTACCTGCATTGCTTTCAAGAACAGACCTCTGTTGAGATGATGGATCCTTGATTTTTGGATGAGAGGTTAACTTTGTTTGAAAATTTGTATCTCTAGGTTCAGGATCTTCTCCAGGCTGAAACAAATTCATAATCATGAAATACCATTGACAGGCTATAAAAAATTTGTAGCACTTCTCAGATGTCCTATTTTTGTTTTAATATATGTTATAATTGTTATAATTAAAATAGGACATATATATTATTCTATCAATCATCTATCTATCCACCCATCTCCTCAACTTAAAAAAAGTTTTAAAGGTAAATATTTTTTCTAAAATATAAGATTTTTCTATACAATATATTTAAGGAAAAAAATATGTTGAATGACAAAATGGTTTGCAATATACTCAGCTCAAAAAAATTTCCCTACCACATTTAAGGCAACATCTCCCAAAAAATATTCTGTTAAAAGAAAATGAGTGATAATTGGGTCTATCTATTAATCAATATTTAAAACTAAGTTTTAGAGAAAGCATTAAATGTCTTCATTATGCAACAATCTTCATCCATGATCCTTCTCCTGTCACATTCCCTCCTTTTCCACCACCATCCATCATTATGAGTACTTTCTTATCCCCCTCTCCTTTGTGAGTAGGTCTTAGTTTTTTGTCTAGCCTGTGCTCCTGGACTGTGAACTTCACCAGTGCTTCTGTTTTCCCTCCCCTTAGGTGGGACAGCATGGCTAGAGGAGGCTGTAGTTATGTATTTCCATTTCCCCAATGTGGAAGGCTAGAGGGAGCTAGAGTTGAGTATCTTCCTTCCCCCACCTGGGAGGACAGAACTGGCTGGAGTTGGTTATCTCCCTTCTCCCAGATGGGTTAGGCTCTGATGATACCCTAGTAACTTAGGCTCTAATAAAATACTTTCTCCTGAGGGCAGGCTTTGTTAAGAAAAACAGAATACTATGGTATGTTTCAAAATGGTTCCTTTTCCATCCCCACTAGTGGAAGCATTGAGGGGGTTTTTCTCTGATATTCATAGTCAAGATCTTGTAGAGCTCTGGGAGATAAAACTCACAAAAGTGTGAAGGTCCCCTGATGACTGGGTCCCCCTTAAGTTTTAAACTTTCAGAGTTGTCCACACTGAACTTCCAGTAATTTCTCAATATTGCTTTTGTTTTTCCCACCCCAGTATTGGTTCTCAGGGAGGTTTCTGTTCATGTGTTTTTGCTCCAGTAAGTTGTGATTTTCTGTATCCACCTGTCTGTCTTTCCAAGTTTTGGTGCAGCAGAATGTCCTGTAACCTTACTTCTCTGATGTATGGAAAAAAAAAAAAAAGAGTTGCTGATTTTTCAGTTTGTTGAGGTTTTTACTTGTTGGTTCCTTACATACTGGACTAGAAATTGGAAGTCTTCCAACTTTTCAAAGTCCTTGATAACACTGGACCCTCCAAGCAGCATTCAACATTGTTGACCACTCCCACTTTCAGGAATAAACTATTTTAAGCTACCTATGATAGCATATTAGGTTTCTTTTCCTCCTTTTCTCTGTTCACTCTTCTTTTCTACCTGAATGTAGAGTTTTCCAAGGACTGATCCTGGACCCCCTTCTCTTCTGCACTCTATATTCTTTCTCGGGTGATTTTATCCATTTCTATGAATTTAAAAATATCTACAATATTATACACTCCTGTTTTCCTGACCTACACATTTATAGCCAATGGCTCTTCCAGCATTTTCATCATTCTGTGCCCTCAGACCTCCTGCCTTTCCTATTACATTAAATAGCACCTTTAATCCACCATAGCTGCTTAAAACAGAGATCTAAAAGTCTTTCTTGACACCTCTCACTCCATCCTCTGTATTCAATCCATGAACTGTACAGGCAAAACTGTCTTGAATCCATGCATATTTCTCCATCCTTCCTACATCCTAGTCAAAGCCACAAAAATTTCATACCAAAAATCTTTGTAACTCTTCCTGCTGACACTCTTGGCCTCTTTCAATTTGTTCTCCAATGTATACAAAGACATTATGGTATAGTAGAAAGAGTACAGGTTTTAGATCCAGAAAGACCTGCCACAGCTCTCTAAATGTATTGGTTAACACCTAAACCTCATTTTTTCAGCTAAAGGTAAAACGAAACAAATAAACAAAAATTTACCTGACAGGAATGCCATAAACAAACATATTATTGCCCGGCTGGGCATGGCTCAGCGGTTGAGCATCAACCTAGAATCTAGGAGATCATGGTTCGATTCCCGGTCAGGGCACATGCCCAGGCTGCGGGCTCGATCCCCAGTCGGGGGCGTGCAGGAGGCAGCTGATCAATGACAACTCTCTCATCACTGATGTTTCTATCTCTCTCCCCCTCTCCCTTCCTCTCTCTCTAAAAGCAATAAAGATATATTTTTTAAAAAGAAAGATATTAACAAAAAGTGCTTAGAATAATGCTTACCATTGAGTAGTCACCTACACAGTAGCTCTGCTACATAAATAAAGTTCAAGACCTCTAGATTCCAGGCCTAATGTAATAATTCACACATACGCCTCAGCCTAAAACACTGCTCTGGTTACATAGCAAATGTCTTATTTTTGCCTTAATGATTAATAGACATCCAATGATCCAAAAAGTTGGAAAAATTATAAATTTTAATTCTCTCCCATTAAACTTAGACTATATACTCATGTAACAATAATGTAATATAATTGCTAAACTCCAAAAACTTTTTGAATTATTGACTTAAATAGCTGAAAAATATTCCTATAAAAATGTTGGTTAAATGTATGTCCTATATTAATAAAATTTACAGTTTATGTAGTTATTCTGCTTTAATACTTGCTTTTTTCTTTGTTTTTTCAGGGGTTAAAGGGTAAGTTTTCTCAGCAAGTACTTCACAAGCTGCGTTATCTACAAATAAAAACATACTTTAGTATTCTAATTATTTAACTTATCATTAACTGTAAGTACAGAAAAAAATATTAAAAAACTAATTTAATAACTGTGACTTTGTAATAGTTTTAGAAGAAAAAATATATGTTGAATAATATGACAGATAGGATAAAGTATTCTTTAAAATATCTTTATCTCAAGAGCTACACGTTTCACATGAGTAAATAAACTCTAGACAAAAGATTTACATTTCAATTAGTAGAGAAAGTGTATGTGATTAAAATTCTTCATGGAATTATTCTTCTATTTCCACCCTCCTGTATTTTCAGATTCTCCCTTTCAATTGCAACTTTTCTATCAGCATTTAAAACACACTCAGGTCTTTTTCATCTTACCCAAAATATTATCTGTCCCCCCTGCACACCCCTTCCTGCTACATCCCTTTCTCTTTTCTTTTTTTTTTATTTAGAGAGAGGAAGGGAGAGGGAGAGAGAGAAACATCAATGAGATAGAAACAACTATTGGCTGCCTCCTGCATGCCACCCACTGGGAATGAAGCCCGAAACCCGGGTATGTGTCCTGATCAGAATAGAACTGGCGACCTCTTGGTGCTTGGGATGACCCAACTGAGCCACACTGGCCAGGCTCCCCTTTTCTTTTATCCATGAACAAGTTTCTTCAAGAGCTGTCCACATATACTAACATAACTTCCTTCCCTCCTATTTACTCTCAAACCTACACAATCTAGTTTCAGCTCCCACCAATGAGAAGAAACCTTTCCTGTCATACATTATTGGACCTCAGTACAATAGGCATGAACATCTTTCCCCTCTGGCCTCTTTAATAGCTCCTCTTTAGTCTTAACTCTTCCCTTTTCCTCATTCTCCAAACTCAATTCAAAGTAACAAATATTTATTGAGGGTCTGCTATGTACCAATTTTACCTATTATATGTACTTAATATTGCAAATTTGGGCTTTTCTTTATTCTTTTTTTTTCTTTTAATCCTTACCTGAGGATATTTTTTTCCATTGCTTTTCAGAGAGAGTGGAAGGGAGAGAAAGAGAAACACCGATGTGAGAGAGACATATCAACAGTTTGCCTCCCACACGAGACTCAACCAGGGCTGAGGACAGAGCCTGCAACCAAGGTATGTGCCCTTGGCTGGAATCGAACCCAGGACCCTTCAGTCCACAGGCTGATGCTCTAACCACTGAACTTAACCGGCTGGGGCTTTTCTTTACTCTTAACACGAGTATCTTGAGTTAAGGCGCCAAAGATTTTCCTTTAAGTTATCCCAACAGCTTTTTGATTCACTCTCTGCAGTGTACATTGTATACCTAAAATAAAAATCTAACATCATCTGCTTAAAACTCTTCAAAGGCTTTCCATTGTCCTCAAGTTAAAATTCAAACTCCTTAACTTGGTATGCAAAAATCCTGTTTTTTAAAAAATGATCCCTGTATTGCTTACATATTCCCAGCTTCATTATGGAGGCTAATAGGTTGCTAGGTAAAATAAAGAATGCCCACTTAAAATTCAGATAAACAATGAATATTTTGTTGTTGTTAATCCTCAGCCAACGATATTTTTTCCATTGATTTTTAGAGAGAGTGGAAGGGAGGGAGCAAGGAAGGGGGAGAGGGAGAGAGAGGGAAGAGAGAGAGAGAGAGAGAAGAGAGAGAGAGAGAAACATCAATATGAGAGAGAGCCATCTATTGGTTGCCTCCTGCACACACCCCAACTAAACCTGCAACCCAGGTATGGGTCCTTGACTGGGAATTGAACCTGCAACCCTTCGGTGTGTGGGCTGATGCTCTAACCAGTGAGCAACACTGGCCAGGGCTGAATAAATGTTTAATATAAGAATTTCTCATATAGTAGTACAAGCATGTGCAATATTTGTGATATAATTATATTAAAAATTATTTGTTGCTTGTCTGAATTCAAATTTAACTGGGCATTCTGTACCTTTATTTGCTAAAACTAGCAACCCTTGAGAGAAAATTTGGACGCCCTGTTTTTTTACAGGACACCTATAAATATCAGAGGGTAGATTCAAAAGAGATTAAAATTTGGGAACTAGCTGTGAAGAACTCTCATATTTAATAGCTAATAGTGGTAGATAAGATTGCAAAGGAAAATGAGCAAGAGTTGCGGGAGAAGTAATTTCTTGTTTATTTATCTGTCTGTATTACCAGACTATTGGTTCCTTGAGGACAGGAATAGAGGCATGTCTCGGTTTTCTAACACTTAGTAAAGAGCCTGATACACAATTGGAACACAGCTGAATTTGCTGAAATAAGAAATGTGTAAAAAATACCTCTAGAACAAGATGTGATTGATTTAATGTTAAATTTTAAGTCAACCAACCATGTAAAGTAAGAATATATAATTCCAGAGTAACTATTCTGCATCATGCCAGGCTTTATAATTAATATTATCCATAGCCAAAGCAAAACTTCTTATTAGGCAAGGCCTAAGTAAAATCGTGATTTTGGTACCCCTGCAGCTTTACTTTTTCATTACCTCTTTTTCTTATTCACAAGTTCCCTTACTCTGGTCTGTAAAACAAATGTTCCTAATGCTCACCCTCCAGGAAGTGTGCTTTTACAAGTTTAGTCTTTATCACCAGATTATTCCCCTAGGACAGAAACTATCTTAATCATTTTTATACCACAGTTCCTTCCATAATACCTGACATTTAGTAAATGCACATTAATACAATGTCTTAAAAGTGAAATTACACAAAAGCCTTTAAGTTCATATAAATATTTATACCCATTAGGGAAAAAACCAGCAATTCTTCAAGTTTATCCCCAAATTGATGCTATAAATCTTACTGTGGGAGACAAAGAAAGAAATCTGAGCTACAGCAGAGGTTTAAAAGGTTGTAAATGTCTTAGTAAGTTTATTCTAATAATAAAATAGTAATATATGGTGACAGGAGAAGATATGACTTTGGATTATGGGCACACAGAGCAATAAACAGATCTTGTAACACAGAAATCCACACCTGAAACCTATATGTTCATATTGACCACTGTCACCCCAAAAAATTTAATTAAAAAATAAGTCAATTAATTTAAAATAAAAAATAAAATAATGGAGTGCCTATAATGCAAAGCACTTTGTCAATCCTTTCATTTTTTCAACCATCACACAAAACTCCAATATATGTTTACTGATCGTCTTCCTCTCCTATGACTAAATCTACGAAGGTAGGGAGTGTATGTCACTCCCCACTGGCATACACAATAATGCCCAGTACAGAGTGCACACTCAGTAAATGTTTATTAAATGAATTGATGGGTGCTATGTTGATAGTTAAGACCCACTTTCTAACCTCATAGCTTCATTTATTTTTTTAAAAAAATATGTCTTCATTGATATTTCAGAAAAAGGAAGGGAGACGAAGAGATAGAAACATCAGTGATGAAAGAGAATCACTGATTGGCTGTCTCCTGCACGCCCCCTACTGGGGATTGAGCCTGCAACCCAGGCATGTGCCCTGACTCGAAATTGAACCACAATCTCCTGGATCAAGGGCGATGCTCAACCACTGAGTCACACCAGCCGGGCCCTGCATTTCTTAAATACAACCAAGCGAAAAGGCAGTCAGCTACCAATTTTCTTTACACTGCTTTGTGAAAAAACAACAAAAACAGAATTATGAAAATTAGTTTCATTATTAATTACCTGATTCTGAATTAGTTTCATTATTTATTACCTGATTCTGAAGCACTCTTTAGTTTTGGAAAAATATTTTCATCTGCTAATGTTATCATTCTGTAATAGGAACAAATTAATGATATTCTCTTAAGCTCTCAGTAAATTTCAGAATCCTCAAATAATACTTAAAATAAGGACATTTACATGCAATCAATTATCCTGTAGAAAAAATACAACTGGTTAGAAAAAAAAAAAGTTGCTATATCTATATGAACAAATAGTTTACTAAAAAGCAATATACTGTACTTATATATGTATCAGTGTGAGACAGTATGTGCAGAGAACATGGCACAGAGTTTAGAATCAGGCAGACCTGGGTTAAAGGCCAGTTCTGTTACTCACACTTGGGAAAGTTACTTAACCTGTCCTGAGTCTTGGTTACCTCATCTATGCAAAAGGAACAGCAATCTTGTTTCCCAGGATTCTTGTGGTGGTAAGGATCTCAAGTAACATGAGAGATACTTTTTAAAAATTAATATCCTTTACTCTTCTACGCTTTCACAAATGAAACTGCCTCTAATTCTATCCAAATGTGTACAAGAGAATTAGCTATTATAAGAGGAATACAAAAGGATTAAAGTTCGATCTTTAACTACCAACATGGAATTACTGAGTCCCTAGAAAGAAAATGGAGTTGAAAACCAAATGTGAGGAGATGTGTTTCTAAATTCCTGTTACAGAGGCCTTCCCATCATGATGGTGGCATAGGTTAACTCAATACTCACCTCCTCCCACAACTACATCAAAATTACAACTAAACTACAGAACTGTCATTCAGAACCACCTGAAATCTGGCTGAATGGAAGTCTTACAACTACAGAATTAAAGAAGAAGCCACATCAAGACTGGTAGGAGAGGCTAAATGCAGAACGGGCTGTGGAGGTTCCCCCTTAGGAGTGAGGGGTCCCAGCCCAGGGTTCCAGTGCAAGAAAGAGAAGTCCCCATAACTTCCAGCTGTAAAAACCAGAGGGGTTGAGGCTGAGGGAGATGGAGGCTGCTGGAATCCCAGGCAGTTCCTCTTAAAGGGCCTGTGCACACTCTTACTCAGACTCACTTCCTCTGAGCTCCAGGGAAAGTAGCTTGAAAGGAACCAGAGACCTAAAGGGAGGGACTGAATTGTTTGCCATCAGGGCAAGAGCTGGAGGGGCAGCTTTCTCCCAGACAGAAATGCTGGCAGAGGCCACTGTTCCTTTGAGGAGCCCTCCCCGCACAGAGCTCGCAGGTGGGTGCCATATCTGAGGCTCCATTAACCTGGCTCACACTGTTTGCCCCACTCTAGGAATTCACCTAGGAATAACAGTAATAGATTTTCTTTTCTTCAGAAATTTCTAACCATTTTGATACAAGCATATTCATAAGGAGAATATCACACTAATACTATTTTTCTCACTCTATGCACTTTCCCAAGCAGACAACTATGTCTTCAGCCCAGAACTCTTCCCTTGCTCTCCATGCTGGGATATCCAACTGTTTACTGGATATCTAGAATTCAAAATACTGTAGGGTATTTCAGTGTTTTCCAAATTAAAATTGTCTGTCACCCCAACTTACTCTTGCTTTTCTATTTGTGTCCCTTCACCAAGTGAATGAATCATTCATCCAGTTTTCTAAGTCAGAGGGTTTCGGGACAACTTGGAAACCATCCTCCTTCCTTAACCAGCTAATCATTAAAAACTACTGATGCCTAGCCGGTGTGGCTCAGTGGCTGAGTGTCAACCCATGAACCAGGAGGTCACGGTTCAATTCCTGGTCAGGGCACATGCCCAGGCTGTGGGCTCAATCCCCAATAGGGGGAGTGCAGGAGGCAGCCGATCAATGATTCTCTCTCATCACTGATGTTTCTATCCCTCTCCCTCTCCCTTCCTCTCTCTGAAATCAATAAAAGCATATTAAAACAAACAGAACAAAACAAAAAAACTACTGATTATCTGCCCTGGCTGGGTGGCTCAGATGGTTGGAGTGTCACCAAAGGGTTGCAGGTATAATTCCTGGTCAGGGCACATACCTAGGTTGTGGGTTTGATCCCCAGTCAGAGCGCATGAGAGGAAACTGATTGATGTTTCTCTCACACACAGTGATGTTTCTTTCTTTCTCTCCCTTCCTTTCTCTAAAAATCAATGAAAACATATCTTCGGGTAAAGATCAAAGAAATAAATTAAAGCCCAGCTAGTGTAGCTCAGAGGTTGAGCATCAACCTATGATCCAGGAGATCGAGGTTTGATTCCAGGTCAGTGCACACGCCTGGGTTTCGGGCTCGATTCCCAGCAGGGGGTGTGCAGGAGGCAGCTGATCAATGACTCCCTCTCATCATTAATGTTTCTCTCTCTCCCCGATCCTTTCCTCTATCTGAAATCAATAGAAACGTTAAAAAAAAACCCACTACTGAGCCCTGGCCAGTGTTTCTCAATGGTTAGAGCATCCGCCCTCGCACCAAAGGGTCACAGATTTGATTTCTGATCAAGGCATATACCTGGGTTGTGGGTTTGCTCCCTGCACCCCAGTTAGGGCTCATGGGGAAGACACCCATTCGATGTGTCTCTCACATCAATGTTTCTCTCTCTCTCTATCTCTTTCCCCCCTCCCTCTCCCCCACTCTCTCTGAAAAGCAATGGAAAAAATATCCTCTGGTGAGGATTAAAAATAAAGATAAATAAAACTATTGATTATCCCTTGTGAATCATTCTCAAATTTTTCCTTTATGCTCTTTTTGCTGCTAAAGTTCAGATCATAAACATGCCTCACTTGGAATGCTACAATAGTCATCCCTTCAATCTAAGTACTCCTTCTAATCCATCTTTTCTTTGCTGCAAGAATACTTGCTCGAAGACAGAACTATGATCATGAATATCTCTGTGAAGAGGTGGGTAACAGGCAAGAATTTTGGTTGGGTAATGTAAAAGTTCCACAGAAATGTGCACTCAGAATTATTTCAATCCCCACACACTCATCTGCATGGAATATCTATACAATATAGATCCCCACCAAAGAACACAGCATTGTACTGTATCCCATTTAATTCT